GAATTACTTGTACACTTTGGCCACATGAGGCTCAGCATTGCCCTCCACCAGGATGAACCTACTGCCCTAGTTTATGGTCTGACAGTAAACTACCTAACAGCAGACATGGTACTAATATCTACCACAAAGAGGTCTGCTTGTGCAGGCCGAATGATCTGCAGGTACCATTTCATACTACCACCAGTGACAAGCAGTAGTTTGATGTAATGCTGGAATTTGATGTATGTGAGAATCCTATATGTACAATATACATTAGTATAACATAAATAAAGCACACAGTATGTTTCATTCAACAACAATTATCCAAAAAGAAGAAGAAAACGAGAAAAAATGGTTTGTATCTTACTTGTCTGGTCCAGCCAGACGTGTATTGATCCTCCATCGATTATCTCCTGAGAGACCTGCCGCTGGAGCATCCTGTGCAACAAGGAACCAGAATTATGATCAGAAAAAAGTAGAACCTCAGTCTATCTAATAAAACACTAGAATGTAAATATCACAATGACAAGCTGTAAAGTGAGCAATAATCTGCTGAATCTGCACGTTTTCTAAATTTGTCTGGCAGGACAAGTTTAAATGATAGACAGCATACGAGACAAACAGATAGAGACAGATAAAGCATTACTGATCTATGTGATAGTGAAATCTAATCTCAGTGATCCAGGTTGAAGAATTTGGTCATTAGGACACTACAAACCCGGTGAACCTGAGGAAGGTGCATAGGAACATAAATATTCATTTTTTTCCTAAGGAATCTGGTTATTGATTATGGATCCTCGTGTGACTGCAGGCTAGTAGCACTATTTAAAACTCAGAAGGTCAGCCAGGCTAATTATTATTTCTCTGACACAATTAAAGCAATGCCTCAAGTCTAGCTGAGCCACTGAGAGCATTGAACCACGTGTAATTTACTATTACTGAATTGTAACTTTGTTCTTGAATACCAGTGAACTGAATAGTGCGTGTCAGATATGTGTAGCCTGGAATTCCTTAAAGTATTTATTTCAGATGGTCTCACTTGGACAAACTTACTGTCTGCGTAAGTGCATAGATTAAAATTTTGATTTAGGGTGTTGCACTTTAACATAGTTCCATTACAAAGTATGAAACTGGTTTGTAGCTACTGGAAATCTTCTGCCTTGTCCCTAGTTAGGCTTTTACAAAACCAGTGTATCATTAAATTATACTGTTCTTACTCTCATAAACCTAGACTACAGTCAATCCTGGATCTACTGGTAGTTGTTGTGTTTAATCCTTTCAGGAGATGATGATGCCAATACATAGCTGAACATCTAAAAGCTTCAAATTGAGGGTATTTTATCATTATAGATTTTTTTATTATGTTATATGTTAGATATATGTATATGTAGTAATATATATGTTTTATTTTTACAACAGTGATTCCCAAAGCGGGCTGCGAGGATACTGCACGGGTGCTAAGAAGAGATTTTGTTAAGAAAAAATTTTGTATTACGGTTTAAATCCCAATAAAATATAAATGACAGAATACAATTTATTTTATATATAAAAAAAGCAAAGCAAACTATTAAAAAAAAGCATGGAAAGTATGCGTTCATTTTTTGTTAAGACTTACTGACATGCATTTTTCTGACATAATGTTAAGTTCATGACAGCACAATCACAAAATGACTGAATAAGAATAGCTTGTTTATAAAGGTTGCCAAGAGAGCCTCTTCCCTCTAAAAGAATGTAAGAGCAGAGCTTAGCTTTGTAAAGTTGGATCTGAACAAACCAGGAGGTTGTGGAAGAATGTGAGCGCATGTGAGTCCACCTGTGCCACAACTAAAGCTTGGTTGAAATGAAACACAACAATGATCCCGAGAACACCAGCAGGTGTTGCAGTGGTCCAGTCAAAGTCCAGATCAGACCTCAGCCTGTGCTGTTGAGGGTTCATAAAAGAGCTGTGCATAAATGAATGTGTGCGAAGCTCGATGAGCTGAAGTGATAACTGGGCCAAAATCCCTTCACAACAACGTGAAAGACTGATAAAGTTTGATAAAGGTTATTGTGATCGTTGTAAAAATCAATTTATCCGTCTTTGTAATGTATCACAAGTTGTTGTTCATCTGAGGTTATATCTAAATTATCTTAGAACCTGATAAAGGCCTGGTGAATTTTTTTATTATTTCCTGGCACGGTGATTAGCACTGTTGCCTCACAGCAAGAAGGTCCTGAGTTCAACTCCACCATCTGGCCGCGGCCTTTCTGTGTGGACTTTGCGTGTTTGCGTGGGTTCTCCGACTTCCTCCCACAGTCCAAAGACATGCAGTTATTTGGGTTAGGGTAATTAATGATTCAAAATTTCCCATAGGTGTGAATGTGAGTGTGATTCTCTGTTAGCCCTGTGATAAACAGGCCACCTGTCCAGGGTGTACCCTGCCTCTCGCCCCATGTCATGTCCAGCTCCTCACAACTGAAAGAGGATGTATGGATGTACTTTCAATTTCAAATGATTGTATCTTAGATTTCCCGTCTATATATGTGCCACCATATTAATGGTGGAAAGGTAGGAGTTAAAATATAGCCACCAACTGCCATAAACAAAAGATGTTTTTGAAGAATAAACCTCAGTAGGGAATTTATCACAACTTTGAAATGAATCCAGAAAAAAGATGAAAGAAAAACGTCATAATGATGGGTCAGATTGTGATAGGTGTGAATATCTTCATTCTCATAAGATATTAAAACGTGCATACCAAAAATACATTTGCATGAACTGCCTTATCCATATGATTACTATCAGGAAACAAAAATCTGCTTCATGCTTATGTGATAACATTAAGGTCTGCTTGAGAATCAGCCAGAGTACCACTCTGCCAGACACATGGGAGAAGAAGCTTTTTGTTTTTCTTAGGCAGGTCTGTCACATGAGAAGCACATGATTCGGTAAGAATAAGCATCTTATTGGTCGGTGCTAAGATGCAACCTGCTCAGGTGTGTTACGGACAGGAAGGACCGGACTATCCACCCTGCAGTCTCACGCTGTGACTGACGACTGAACAACAACACTGCTGCAATGACTCACCTTCACGTGATTTTGAGGTGTGAGTTGGTGTGGTGTGGCCTCTGTGAGCATTTATGTGTATCAAAACAACAGAGAGTGCGTGTGAAAAAAATTTACTTTCATATTAATTCACCATCAGAAGAACAAATGAAACATTTTAATAAAACAGTTTTAAAGCCACTTAGAAAAGCAAGCTATTAAGCTGATTTATGTGGTCCTTTTAAGTAGAAGCAGATAAATAAATGATATATTATTTGCTGTAATGCTCATTAAAACAAATATAAGAACATTTATTGGGATATTTTTGGGAAGCTGTGTACTGGGACTGAAAACATTTTAATTCAGTATTTCAGATCCATAAGAATCTGATACTTTCCTCCGGATGATTGCACAAATACCTTTATGCATAATACATCAGGGCTGACGTGTTTGATCACGTCAGTCATGCTGTTTGTTTTCATTGGCAACAAGAAAGCTGCACTGATTTACCTGAGGTCATAATTTCTCTTAATGCAAACCACACACTGGATTTTCTGGATTTTATGCACTATCACCAGGGGAAATATTAGTTGGATATATTGTGAAGATTTTTATAATTATAATGAAGGCTGGTGCAAATCTTCCAGTCTACATGTCAAATTTTCCAAAGAGTCTACAACCATCCTCCAATCCGAATTTCTAAGTAAGTAAATCACCAACTTGTGAAATGATTGTTAAGGTATATAATAGGTGCGTGGTGTTCCCTGAGGTGTGGACTGTTTGTGTCGGTGTTTGTCATGTTTGTGATATGCAGCTGGAATGCTGCCATGCGTTGCAAAGACTCGTCTTGCAAAATCTGTCTGCTTTGCTGTGCGATTTGTCTGACTACTGAGAATCCTCACTGACAAACACAAACGTCTGTACACAGCCTGTTCTGCCCACGTGTAGGTGCATGACATCAGCATGTGCTGCTTGAAAGGGAACTACCAAAAGTAGGGCAATGAGGAAGAAAAAGGCAGCAGGTTGTTTGTTTGCAAAGGTACATGAAAACAAGCAACATTCTCAAGCTGAGACTTGTCATAAACAGATCAAATATAACATGTACAAAAATGATTTAAAGAAGGACATATCCATGGAACAATGGGCATTGGTTTGCGCAAAAGCTCATAAACAAACTATTAATTCTAGACTAAGGTTGTTGCAATACAAATGGTTAATGCGAATATATGTTACTCCGGAAAAATTAAATAAGTACAACTCTAATATTCCAGACACTTGTAATAAATGTAATGAAGATAAGGGTAACTTTTGGCATTGCATTTGGGATTGCAGGAAGATTGGCTCCTTTTGGGTTGCAGTAACACAAACTATGAAACAAATATTATCCAAGGAGGTTGTTTTGGATCCTGGCTTCCTTATTCTGGGATTGTACCCAGAAAACATGAGGTACACAAAAAG